ACAACATAGTTAATCCAATATTTATTAAAATAATAATTAAAATCAAAATTACAACAAAAATATATAAACAAAACTCAAACTTAATAATCATCATTCTCTTAATCATTATTATCTTACTGTTGAAATTATTTTAACAAATACTTGTTGCAGTTCCAATATTAACACTTCTTTAATCTGATTTTTTTTAAGAAGATAGTATATATATATATATATATAGTACTCTTTTTTTTTTTCTTTTTCTTTTTTCTGCTTTAGATCATGGTTGGGTAGTGATTGTAAATAATTAAACAAAATTATTATTTATTATTTTTGAAGTAAACTCAATTAATTACCGCTTACTTATAGTTAAATTATAATATAATCTCTTGGATAATGAAATCTTCCTACCTTTGCGGATCTGGGGATTTCCCGATAGCTGACTCTCTGGTGCGAGATAATACAACGTCGGAGCTGATCATGCTTTACGTTCATGAATAAATTTGCTATTCTTCTGTTGATTTTGCTGTTTAATTGGCTCTGAAATCTTCCTTATTTTGTTCCGTCAATACAGTCTTAATTAATTAGCTGATTCTCTATTGCTCTGAGATTTTGATTTCTTGGGTATTTTCTTTTCTTTAATGCTGACACTTGCAAGCTCTTATTAATAGATCAATTTAATGAGCTCGTGTTCTTAAATTTATAAAAAAATTTGAAAAAAATAATAGTAGCTAGAGATCATACGTCTTTACAAAATTTATTTGATTAAATGTGAATTTTGGTTTAAGTATTTAAATAAAAAAATTTCAGGATTGACTTTAATTAAGATTACCCATACTCCAAATAATATAACTTTTTTTTAATCTAAGTGTAGTTTCAATAAGATGAACCCAAAGATGTAGAAAGTACCTTAAATTGAATCCTAAACGGCCAAAATCAAACACTCAAATGTATAATCGGAAACTTCACGCAGTTGTCACCAATATGGACTCTTTAAGTTGACACTTGCATTACCAATAAGGTCAATGCAGAACATCACCAACAAAGTTGACGTAAGTTGTCAACAAAATGTTAATATTTTTTGTTGCATAACAACAAGGCCAACACCTGATGTCGACATTAACGATGATACTAATGCTAGCAACAACTGCTACTAATAAGGTCGTTGCCCACAGAAGATATATATAAATGTGAGTGTCCGCCCACATTTGTAATGTTTTCGCCCACTATCGACACTAATGACAACGCTCATTGATACCAATTAAGAATATCGTAACCCACCATTGAACCTAACGTTGATACCCGATATGCCAATAAAATTTTCGTCTGCTAACGTCGTCCTTGCCATTAAGGCTGACACACAGCATTAACAAAACACCAACATGGACTCTTTAAGTTGATACATATATATGTTACCAATAAGGCTAATTTACAATATCACCAATAAGGTTGACGTCAGTTGTCAACAAAATGCTAATATTTACTGTTGACAACAAGGCCGACACTCGATGTCGGCACTAACGCTAATGCTACTGCTAGCAACCACTGCTACTAATAAGGTCGTTGCCCACATAAGATATATATCAATGCGAGTGTCCGCTCACACTTATAATGTCTTCGCCCACTATCGACACTAATGCCAATGCTCATTGATATCAAGAATGTCGTAACCCACATGCCTTATTTATAATCTATGACTTATATTAATAAAATTATCTCATCAAACCTCATAAAATTTTGTTTTCCTTCACTAACTTTTATATAAAATTTTTCATTTCCAATATAAGCTGTCATAAACTTATAATATTACGACAATAAATCCTCCTCACCGCAGTATTCCAGCATGCAACGAGTGGGATTCTAATGGGAGGAAGATGGAACCAACCTTTTTCTTTTTTTTTTTTTCTAATTAAGACATTAATAATTAAATTCCTTTTATATTACTAAATTAAAAAATATATATATTTATAATCTTCACTACAATATCACAAATGTGTTAGGTGCGTAATGCCGGCCACTTTTCTTAATATTTTATGGCTCTTTCTTCACATGCACTAGTCACTGGCCAACCTGGAAGATAAATAAACCAGATCCAATACACAATTTTTTTGATTATTCTCTCTCTCTCTCTCTCTCTCTCTCTCTCTCTCTCTCTCTCTTTTATTACAATTTGTCATATCCTCTTTCTTATTTATTCGCAACTATCTCATCAATATTAATATCACATTGTCAGCTGCAAGAATCAATACAAACTCCATTATTCAAAGCATTTCAAGCAGTACTTGACCTGTAAAAATCTTCCTGTGTATTCCTATTTGATCATATATACAGCTTGTGAAGATCAATTAGAAATTAGAATGCTGAAATTAAAAGAATATATAGGTGAGGTCCACTTGCTCATGCAGTAATTGCAGAACACAGGATTGGAAAACCACTCGATTGTCTAGCTTACAGTGTGCATAACTAGCTACAGGTCACTCGTTGAGAAGGCTTTAATGGATGGCTCATTTAAAGCGTGTGAAACTTTGGTGGCTAGCAAGCTCTATGTCCATCTTCCTCTTTAAATAGGCAAATATATAGTTTGCTATGAAGTTTAATATATTTTTGTGATGTGTTGTGACCTACTTCACTCACGTGTTTTTTTTTTTTTAATTTAAAACAAAATTTAGGGTTTACGAGTTTTATATATTTAAATTTCTATTTTTTTTTTTGGGAAATTAAATTTCTATTGAGAGTTTGATAATTTTGTATTCAATCATTCTTTCAGGACTTGAATAGGGGTGGAACCAACTTTAATTTTAAAGGGGGGCAAATTTATAAGTAAGTGCAGTGATTTTTTATTATTTTTTCATAAATATTCTTTCATCCAAAATTTGTTCTGAAGGTGCTACCTCTCGATCACTATTTGTTCATATCTTTGATCGTTGTATGGTTCGCAAATATGTCGGGGGTCCAAGGGTGCAGCGCCCCATGGCGGGGTTCGACCTAAGGGGGTTTCCGGATGCAGCGCCTCCGAAACAAATTTTGGTTGTAAGGATATTTTTTAATTCTCTTTACTATTTTTCTTTGTATTTGGTTCATTGTTCCCTAACAATAACATCTATATACATTGTGTTAATTTAATTATGTTGGAGCAATTGCCTGAAGTTTAGTATTTTATAACTTTTAGGGGTGGGGAGGGCAATTGACTAAAAATCTTTATAATAAAGACTAAAAAATAATAGAGGAGGACAAATTACGCAAAGAATCGAAATTTTTTTTTTTTTTTTTTTTTTTTTGCTCCCCCTGGGCAGAAGGTGGATCTGCCCTGAACATAAAACTAAAATCAAATAATATCACACGAGTCAAGGTATTTTTGTTTCGATCTATCCAATTTGTTCTTATTTGCAAATGGAAAACATTTTCATTATTGAAATAAAAATATAAAATAAGGTGATTTTTGTCTAAGGAAAATGAAAAAATTCCCACTTAAAAGGGCTGCTATACCAGCCAAACGGCCATTTGAAAGTTTTGAGGGAAATGAAGGTTCTTCTCGTAATGTTTCTTTTTTGCTTCTGCCACTTTAAATAAATAATTTCATGAAAAAGACCAAAGCTTTCAGGGCTTATCATCTTCTGCTATGATTACCCCCCCAAAAAAAAACTTCTGCTATGATATTTTCATCATTGAGTGCTAATCTTCTATGAGATACCTATAAATAGAAGAGAACTTAGAGGTCATACCCAATCAATGATGGGAATATGATGTGTGCTAGCTAGGTGTAGTTAATGTAGAAAAGAGGACAAACTTCAAATAGAAACTTTCATGAAAAAAAGAGTTTACCTAGGTTTGAAGTATTGGGCGCATCTCTATCAACTTCCATAATTTGATAGGGGATCACAATGCCAATATTAACTCTAAAAACTTCTATACTCCATACGGGTGGTATACAACGGTGAAAATTATTGCATATATAAATCTATAGTTGCGGTTTACAAACCACTGCTATAGAAACGTTATATTTTTGTTATGTATGTGATATATCCGATGATTGAACCACAGAAGCGATAAAGTTCGTTGGAACTTCTCAAGATGTGTGACTGGATAGTGCTAAAGAGAGACTCAGGTTTCGTTTGGGACAGCTTTCTTGATACTTCTTAAAGTAGTTTTTTAGTAGACAAGTTTTAATTTTTAAATTAGAATGTTATTTTAAGAAGCAATAAACAAAACCGTCTCAAATGAAGCCTAAATGTATAAGTGAATCTGAGGTTTGGCTGACTTTAGAACTTCGACATAAAATAATCTCGATCATATCCAGATAAGCTCTTTAAGATATTCTATGTTTTTTAGTTTAAGATGATTACTTAACATATTTTTATAAAATTAATGGCTAAGGGCATCTTCAATCGAAAAATCTATTTTCCACTCTAAAATGCATGTAGTAAAACTTCATAATATCGTAATTCATCTCCAATTAAACTGCATATCTTTCTTCTTTCGCACACTTCCTACGAAGATAACCACCTTTCTCCTCTTTCACGCTCTTATCTCCTCTTTCGTGCTCTCCTTCTGCAAATTCTGCAACTCAATTTTTTTTGCTTAGGTGAACAGTTCGATGCCAATATTGGTGTCGGACTGTTCACCTACCAAATTTTGGCGAGAGATTTGGAGTTCGAATTCAGCGAACCACGAACGGCATATAGTGGCATGCAGTTCGGTTGGACATGATCTAAAGAACATCATCAATTATTTTAAAAGAAAAAAAACAACAACATATGTAGTCACGTTTATCAAAAAACGACTATCAATGAGTTTATCCAACTTTAAAAGAAAGACTAATTTAGCCCCTACATATGAATCCGGTGATTTTAAAATCTATGCATATTTTTTTCTTGGATTGGACAAGTGGCGTACTTCTGTAGTTCTCCTAACAGAAGTTAGAATCCTGTCAACTATCAATTTCGCTTTCAATGCAATAAATTCCTCTACTTTTATTGTTAAACTTGCTCTGCTTTTCTCCCGCTTATAAAATGACTCTTTGCCTTGCCATCTTCAGCAACTCAGTGAAAAAATAAACAGATAGATAGATAGAGAGAGAGAGTAATGGAGAGCAGAAGCATTTTGCCTGGCGCTAAACAGTTAGCCACACTTCATCTTTTAGTGGTGATTTTGAGCTTCTGCTTCTGCTCTCAAATCCAAGCCTTTGCTGTCAACCGAACGTCGAAGCCTATAGTTCCTGCTGTAATTTTGTTTGGTGACTCAATAGTTGATCCTGGAAATAACAATGCGATTAAAACTATTGTGAAGTGTAATTTTCCTCCATATGGGAAGGATTTCATCGGCCATGTACCTACTGGCAGATTTTGCAATGGCAAGATACCTGGTGACCTTATAGGTACTTTCCTCACGCACCTTATTCATATATATTTATTGAGTACTCATAAGATTCTTATATATATGTGCTACTTAGGGTATATACGAGATTTTTTTTTGCAGATGATTTTGTTTTATTACAGAGAATGAGCCTTTTACAGTAAAATTATTTTCATTGGTTGGAGTAGTTTCAGTAAGAGATAAGATTAGAAAGAGTTGCTGTAGATGATTTTGTCAAATAAAATATCAATCTTCTAATGACCTGATTAGTAGAATAGATATGTCATATCTTACTTATATATGTTAGCAACAGTAGAGATAGACCTAAAAAGATTTGGTTATAAAGTATTAGAAATATCGGTTCATGTTAGATTTAAATGATAATTTTATTCTACATAAGAAACATTGAAGAAAATTGATTTATGTAGCCGACTTTGTTTTTCTGAAGTGAGGGATTTAGTTTATCTCATTAGCTCAAATGCTTATGAAAAAGAGAGATTATTATGATTTACGCGCAGTCACTGGACCGTTCGGATGTCAATTAGGACGTGCCATTTCACCTCATACACAATGATAACGCAGCGTATTTGTGTCGTAATGCGTCTTAATTGGCCTCCGGATGATGTAGAGTTACTGCACGTAATAATTTTGTCTTAAAAAATAGAGGGAGTGAGGCCCACCGATCCCATTGATACAGTTGATTTTTTTTTTTAATTATCAATTTCGAATTTTGATGGCAATTAACTGCACTAACAAAATGTCAGTGCGATCAAAAGTTTTGCAAAAAAAAGGGTGTTCCTCTTTAATGAAGCAGAGGTGGCCGCTTCTGTAAATATTGTGCGCCAGCTGTGTACGATAATGAGCTAAATGACGAACATGTCGGTGTGAGCAGAGAAGGGACAGGAGCACACCGCTCAATTAAATTTGCAAATTTTTTTTTTTAATAATAAAGAGGAGCTGCATGGCTAGCTAAATTAGTTATTATTTTTATTCCCATGCCTCATAACTCAATGGTACTGAATCTACTTGATTTATGATTTATAGCTGAAGAAACAAAACTACTACGTGACATGTAGCGTTAATCAGGATATTTTGAATGTATTAAATTTCGTTATGAACAGTTTTCTAATTTTTTAATTAGAATTTTTTTTTATAAAATAATAAAAAAACTGTGCAGGTTTAATATTTTTGAAAAAAAAAAAGTTTATTTGGTTTATTGATCAGTTTTATTAATTTGTCTGAAATTTCATCAGCCTCAAGTCTGGGAGTGAAGGATACAGTGCCAGCTTATGTCGGCCAAAAGCTAGGAGCTGAAGACCTACTCACTGGAGTCAGCTTCGCTTCCGGAGCCACTGGCTACGATCCCTTGACCCCTGTTATTGCAGTACCTTCTCTCTCTCTCCCTCCTCATCCACTTCAATGCTAGCTTTTAATTCTCTATCTAACAAAAATTAAGCATATCAATGGTGATTGAGAATCTTCAACCTATGTTTGAATTTTTTTTCATGCGGTACAATCTCTTAAGTGGGCAAAATTATTAGGTACAGAGTGCGGACGGGAGAACCGTCTGCACACTAGTATAAAACAGTGTTCGGTACCGTTCGGTACCACTCGGTACCGCTGGGTACCGCTCGGTACTCTGTGTCTGTGCAGACGGTTCTTACCCCGTCTGCACTCCGCACCTAATAATTTTTCCTTAAGTGGAAAGAAAATAACTGCGAGTCTTGTACCTGTCAGACTAATTGCTCGTAGGCCAAGCATCTCCTAATGGAGAGATTATTCCATGCGGACACCGGACGGGAGAACCGTCCGGTTATGTTTGGTACTGAGCTCGGTACCGAGCTCTGTACAGAGCGCGATACATTTTAGGGCGACATGACGCATTTTTATTAGTCTCCGGACTCCGCATAGAATAATTTGCCCTCCTAATTAATGGGGTGGCAGCGGATAGATACTCCGCCCCCAAAAAGAATTAAAAAAAAAACACACAATTATATTGGGGCATCAATGTTATCTGAATTTTGTTATTTATTTGTTGGAGTTAATATTAAAATCATTAAAATTTATTTAGATTATGCTATGTTTAGAAATATGTTAAGAAAGGTAGGGATAGGCCTAAAAAGAATTGATTAGAAAATATTACGAATGACCTTTTTTTATTAGATTTAAACAAGAATTTGACTTTTAATAGAACACAATGGAGAAAAAGGATTCATGTTGCCAACCCCACGTAGTGAGATAAAGGCTTGTTGTTGTTGTATGCTATCTTTGGAAAAGTTTTCTTGCTATCAGTTTTTCAGAAATCAGAGTTAATTTCATATTTTTATCACCGTTTATATTTTCTTCTCATATAATTAAAGAGATGTTCATAAAAAAAATTGCATAAATTCAGCAATATAAGAAACCAAGAACATTTCACTAATATTGTTAAAGAAATAATTTTGATTTTATTTTATTTATTGGCTTTGTTAATTATATATCGATGATGAAGTAACAATTATATGGTAATTAATAAATGAATGCAGTCGGCGATATCGATGCCGGATCAGCTAAAACTATTCGCAGAATACAAAGAGAAGATAAAGGAGATCGCCGGAGAAGAGAGGGCTAATAGCATAATAGCGGAGAGTCTCTACGTAGTGTGCTCCGGCTCCGACGATCTCGCCAACACCTATTTCATCACCCCGTTCCGCCAGGCCCATTACGACGTGCCCTCCTATGTCAATTTGCTCATCGGCTACTCTTCCCAATTCATCCAGGTAAATTAAACACACTTCTCTCTCTCTCTCTGAGATTTTACGGGAATATTATTTTTTAAATATTATAAGTTGTTATACAAAAAAAAAAATTAATGTCACTTTGACCTATCCGAGAAGCCAAGAGTCGAAGTCTTTGAAACTATCATCTACAAATCATGTTGCATGTAAATCTGAATGCTTTAAATGAATATAAAATTATTGTTTAATAGTTTGGCAATATATTAGACTACCATTTTTCTACAAAGCAGAAAAGTGGATTATATATATATATATATAAAGAAAGGTCAAATGCTTTCTTAAAGATATCACTCATTAATCGCTTAATCGCTCTTGTTAAATATAATTTCAAAATATATAAATTTTTAGAAAGCAGTATTCAAATAAAATTGTTATTATAGTCTGAAAAATAAAACAGTGAGAAAGTTGTCCTAAACAACCCTTACAATCTCTTGAGAGGACGACTGAAATGTTTTATAAAGTTTATTGAAAAATTACTTTGAGAAAAATTAATTTAGCAATTATGGTCATAAGAAGTAGTGCTCCATCACAGAAATTTTTAAAAAAATAATAAGAAATCAATAGCCAAAATAAAATTATTATTATTGTCTGAAAAATAAAATAATAAGAAACATGTCTCAAATAGAAGAAATTATTCTATGTGGAGTCCGGACGAAAAGTTTTCATTCGAACTGTGAGTGTACACAATATTTATACACACTGTGTACAAAAAAAATCAAATTGTGTACAAATTAAATTATACAGTGTACTGTGTATACACATAGTAAAGATGGGAACTTCCCGCTCAAACTCTACACAAAATAATTTCTTCTCAAATAGACCCTTAATGACATCGACATAGCAATAGGAAAATTTAAAAATTGCACATGTATATCATCGTGCAAAACAGTAAAAAGTAGCTTAGGCCTACATGTTAGCTAGAGATTGCACCATAAACAACAAGAAGATATTTCAACTTCCATAAATGTGAGCAATAACCAATATTTAGTACAATTTTCTCATCAAATTTTAATAGAGATATTTAGTACCCTTTCTGTTCTATCTTTACAAAATCTTTTAGTAAATTAGAAAATTTAGTGATGTACGTATCAATGCTCTTTCCCTTTCTCTCTCACATCAATTACTTATTAATTTAGTTGATGCATTATAAATATGGTTGGTTTCTTCTTTAATCTATGACCGAAACAGACCATTTTCATTAAATAAAAAGAGAGAACGGACAATAATTGATAGCTGGTTTATATAAATCTTTCTCCCAACTTCCAACAAACAACAATAATGTTAGCTAACGCTAATGCTTAAGTGTGGATAAATCATATATCATAAATTATTTATAATTCATTTTATATTAATTGTTTAAACTTTGATAGTTTTAAATTAATTAAGAACTCATTTGGTTGCTTGTAAATGAATTATATATTTTAGAGATTAATAATTTTATTTTTAATTTGTTTAACATATTCAGCATTTAAATTTTTTTAATAATTTAAAACACATTTATTAAAAAATTTTAAATATTCAAATAAATTTAAGGAAAAACATATTAACAGAAAAATCAGAGAAATTTTGTTTCTTGCTAGTTGCTAGGAGTATAATCTAATAATTTTAAAATTTTCTCCCTTTTTATTTTTTGGAATTTGCATTGGCAGTTTATTTTTTTATTATAGCTTTAATATAAAAAAATTGCAACAGAGATTTAACTCAATATTATATTAATTGAGTTGAAGGTAGGTAATAAATCAGAAATATTAAAATAGCATGTTCTAGTAATATTATTTTATCAGTATTCTTATTAAAATATATAATTAAATCATAATTTTATGATATTTTTATGTATTTCAAAATATAAATTTATAATATTTAAAAACAGCATCAGTCAGAGAAAATTAAAATAATAATTAAAAATTTATGTCAAACAAACCAGTATTTGTAATAATAAATTATATTAAACATACATTGTAATCAAGCCAATTAGAAAAAAATAATAATGTAAAGAAATAATAAAACATAAAATATGCTCTGGCTGACAGAGATTAGAGTGAAAAGCACAGGAGGTGGTAGGTGAAATAATTATTCAGTAACTTTCATACATAATAATTATCAGCATTAGATTAAAAAAATAAATAGTGATATTTGGGATCCTTTCAAGCAAGTTATGTCCATTCATTTTAAATCAAATCCAACACATAGCATCTGTTTGTGATGACTTCAAACTTTCTATAAAGTTGATTATAAAATTGTTGTTAGAAAAATAATTTAAGCTTTAAAATAACTTTTGAATTTTTTTTTTGAAATTGTTGTTGAAAAAGAGCGTTTAAAACCAAAAATAATAAAGCTTATGGCTTCGTTTGAGACGGCTTTCTTAATGCCTCATAAAATAGCTTTTTAGTATAAATTTTTTAATTTTTTTACTAAAATGCTGCTTTATGAAGCAATAAGAAAGCCATCTCAAATCAAGCCTAAATTACCACAAGTAAAACTTTAGGCTTCATTTGGGAAGAATTTTTTTATTACTTCTTACGCAGAATTTTCATACAAAATTTTAAATTTTTGTACTAGAACTCTCTTTTAAAAAGCAATAAAAAAAGTCATCCCAAACGAAGACTTAATTATTTTGATTATAAAAAATAACTTTCAATGACAGTAACTTTAACAGAAAAAGTGAGAAAATAGGAAAAAAACTGTTAAACAAAAAAAAATATTTTTATTTAAAAATAAAATAATGAAAAAATTATCTCTAGCAGACTCTTAATTAAAAATTAAATCATAATATTCTGAGCTAATTTTTTTTCCCAGATCCTAATACTACTTTTTTTCTTCCCAGAAATTATACCAAATGGGGGCGCGTAAAATAGCGTATGTGGGGCTTCCTCCTATAGGCTGCCTACCTTCACAGAGAACTCTTGGAGGAGGTCCTTTAAGAGAATGTGTGCCAATTCGGAATGAGGCAGCGATGCTTTATAATTCGAAAATTAACGCAGAGATCAACAGACTTGGCAGGATTTTCAAAGGCACTAAACTGATCTATCTGGATATCTACACTATAATTCTGGACCTTGTTCAGAGACCCTCAGTTTATGGTAACTACACTTTTAACTCTTTCTCAATGCTTCTAAAACTTTTTAGTTATCATTTTAATTATGCTCTCTTATAGACATAGGTTTTTGTTGTGACGATTTTTTTATTACTTCTTAAAGTAAATTTTTAGTAAAAAAATTATTTTTTTATATTAAAAAATTGCTTTAAGAAAAAAAAAACCGTTCCAAACGAAGACATAGTCATTCAAATCCTTTTCAACTAAATGCTAACATAAAATAGAATGTAACATTTAACATCTTTTTTAGCATTTATTTAAAATAGTTTTTTTGACTATTTTCTGGTAAGAAAATAATTTGTGAAAAATAATGTATGTTTGGTAGATAACTTTTAATTTCAATCTTTTTTTTTTTTAATTTTGCCTTTAAAAACTATTTTTGAAGAACCATTTTTGAAACTGTATATTGGTTTGATACGACTTTTTACTACTTCTTCAAACAGTTTTTTAATACAAAAAAAGCTCTTAAAAACTATTTTAAGAAGCAGTAAAAAAGCTATCTCAAACAAAGCCTTCAGCTAAGAGATGAGCATGCAGAAGTAAAGTAAAATAAAAAAAGACAAACAGCCCAAATGAAACATTAAGCTCTCAGTTTAATGGAATTTCCATTGTTTTATTTTTCTTCTTCCACTCATTGAAAGAGAAAATTCACAATATCTACTTTGGTATGTATAATGTCCTATTTGCTAAAATAAGATACTCCCCCATAAAATTTTGAAAGTTTCTGATTTTTCTTTAGAAGGCAAAAGTGATACCATGTGACCAATTTTTTCTTATTGCAAACTCCAGAAAGAGCAAATTCATGAAGTAAAATACAACAGTGCGATATCACTTTGTTCGCCTGGCCACATACACTAAATGCTTGGCTCCATTCACGTATATTAATGGTGGCAACTAATTCCTTACTTTCCTGATTTGAAAGTTAAACCAACTGAGCCTATGCTTCTGCTGTGCTTTAAATGCAGTTGCAGGTTCTTAGAATCCATAGCCATACACCATTCAATATTGCAACCTTTAAAATAAAAAAATATATTATAGCTATCATGTTCACGATGGCATTTATACCATATGTCCATTTCATAAATAGAATACTAACTCTTTCAATAAAAAAATGTATATCTTCTCTAAGCCTTTTGCTGTTAGGAAAATAGAAAACCTTAATGAAAGTATTAAAACAAGTTGAATATTCTTTTTATTTAGAGGTAGTATAAACTTTTATATAGGGTATTTAATCATATATTATACTATTTTTATTCTGATTCAATTTTCTCTTTTTATATGCAACCACACTTCTCTCTTAGTAAAAGGCATGATTAAATCCACCGATGTTTAGTTTGGTTGGTAGGCGAGTACGGTTGGGAACAACCCAACCCATGCTCGATTCCCCTCGAGAGGCAGCGCTTCTTAAGTGGGGTTCAATGAAGTGAGGGTCAGGAGGCTTCAGGGGTGGGTGCCTATTCTAGGTCAATCGAGGATTAGTCACGCCGTCAATCGCTCTTTTGAGGGTGGCAGCTTGCTATGGTGCATAACCCGTTCCAAAAAAAAAAGGCATGATTATATTTTTAGTAAATAAGTTCGACTTTTATCATAGTCCAATTAACCCAAATTTGACCTATTCATTTATTAAACAAGTTAAGCAGGTCGATTTGAACTTTTTTGAATTAGATATATAGATTGGGTCATTTATTGACATCCCTAGCTGCAGGTTCCCTACCTGTATGGGGATGGAGGCATTCTGATAAGCATTTAAAGTAATCACACTTCAGTAATAAAGTAGTGGAGGTTCGCCAACATAAGAAAAACAAAATGCTTCATAGCTTCAAAATTTAGCTTTCACATTTATTTTAGTTTTTTTCTACAAAGCAGTTCTGTTCCTTTTCTAAATAGTTTTTTAATGGCTATTATGATTGCAGGATTTGAGGTCTCAAATAAAGGTTGCTGTGGCACGGGAGCTATAGAGGTTTCAGTACTGTGCAATCCGAAGCTACCAACATGCCCAGACGATTCCAAATACGTATTTTGGGATAGCTATCACCCCACAGAAGGAGCTTATAGAATCATAGTAGATTATCTTATTCAACGGTACCTTAAATATTTGAACTAAATAATATATATGTAAATACATCATAAATATTATTTTTATGATGTAAAGTAGGAAGGAGGATTGAATGATCTTTGAATGTATTTTCGCAAATTTTTATTTTGGTATGGATGGAATAAATAATATGTTATTTTGTCAATGTGATATGGGGAAAAAGTGGTTAATTAGTTTGATAATGAAGATCATTTAAGCGCTTAAGTAGGCTTATTAATTATTCTCCCTACGCTAAGTAGTTTTATAATGGTGTTGTGTCTCCATTTTGATCTCCTTTGATTTGCTTGTTTGTTACTTTGCCTATCTGTGGGATTCTCTGCTTTTTGTTCTATTATTATTGTTATTTTATTTATTTGCTCCTACTTCTTCCTTGTGAATTACACAAGGACATTAATTGCATTCTTATTGTTTTTTTTTTATTATTATTCTTATTGCTTAGCTTTTTAGTATAAAAATTTTAATTTTTGTATGAAAAAATTACTTTAAGAAGCAGTGAGAAAGCCGGACCAAACAAAGCCTCTAAAGTAGCTTTTTTGTGCAAATAATTCTTATACTAAAAATTTTTGTAATAAAAATATGCTATAAAAAGCAGTAAAAAAGCTGTTCCAAACAAAGCCTAAGACATTCTTAAGCTAGGTGATTCATCATGTTAGTTTTCTACTCTTATGACCAACTGATAAGAACAAGTGATAAGTAGCTACAGTTATGGATAAGTCAGCTCATTGCTTGAAGTGCCTTGCTCCATATGAATTGTTCCACTTTCTTTGTGTTGCGTCATATTCTCTTCTTGCAGTCGTTGGATCCCTACATTTATCATCCTCGCCATTCATTCATAACTAACTTAATTATCTTATATAGTTTTTCAGATATATACATATATGTGTTCAGTTTTTCCAGCATTGGGAAAATTAATGAATATCCATAGTAATAATACCTTTGCATTCCAATTCTTCTATTTGCATTTTCAATTTTGTTTTCACTGCAAATTATGAAGTTCTTCATGGTAGCAGAGCACTCAAGGGGTTTTTTTTTTCTGCTCCGTTATGGCTGATTCTCCAACAACTTCCTCCTCTCTCAATATTCTCATCACCATTAGTGAAGTCTCTACACCTCAACTCAAGTTCTTCATGTATATTGTTAAGAACTTGGTTAATGTTCAATTAACTGTTAAAAATAATCCTGTTTGGAAGGCTCAACTGCTCAAACTATTTACAGCAAACAGATTTAAAGATTGTCTCACTGGTTCCAGTTCCAACCCTCCTAAACATATGTTCTTGTCTGATAGTTCAGTAGCCCTTAATGTAATATCAAAATCTGCTCCAGGATCGTCCAGGACGATCTGGGATCGTCCTGAGACGATCAGTTGAGAATTTGCTCCAGAATTTACCCAGATTTGCTCAAGGTGATTTTGCATTTGATGATTCATAGTAGCTCTGGTTTGTTCTGTGTGTTGGTGTTTGAGTTGAAATAATTTGGAAGATTTAGTTCAGTAAGCAAATTCCAAAGCCAGATCCTGGTCAGTCAGTCTGTTCGTTTCCGTGTCGAGACCCGATGCGAGCGGGATCCGTCCCGGGTCGGGTCGTAACACTTAACCCCTTATATCAATCATGAATGCTAATTGATCATAATCTTGTTGCCACTATTTACTCCACCATTTCACAGACTCTTCTAAAAGATTTGCAAATCAACAAACTACATTCTACTTCTTTTGATTGCTTAGCTTGTTCTCGTGCTAAATGTACTTGTTTACTATTTTCTTTGTCTACCACTATAACTAGTCAATGTTTAGAGCTCGTGTACACTGATGTATGGGGTCCATCCACAATTTTATCAAGGCAATCATACAAATTTTGGGTAGACATCTTTCAGATGGAGGTGATGAATATGTCAAAAAAAAAATCAAGCTAAATTGCTTCAATTTGGTATTCTCCATTAAACCACTTTTCCACATACTATTCACCAAAATGGAGTTTTCGAACACAAACATAGACATTTACTTGAAAGAATATGTTCCTTACTCTTTCATGCCAATGTTCCCTCCCAATTTTGGGTGGACACTCTTCTTACTTCTGCTTATTTAATTAATTGTCTACCATCTAAAACCTCACAAAGCAAATTGCCACATGAATGCTTGTACAATTAAAGTCTCACCTATTCTCATCTAAGGACATTTAGTTGTCTTTGCTATCCATGATTGTCACAAAAACTAACCCACAAATTAGCACCTAGTTCCAAACCATGTGTCTTTCTTGGTTATGCTACTCATGCCAAGGTTATAACTATCTTCACATACGTACTGGCAGGTTATATATCTCAAGGCATGTTATGTTTCATCAAACAAACTTTCCTTTTCAAAATGTTTCTTTTGTCACAACTCCCTCCCCAAGTTTAGTAAATATTCCTCCTTCTACCTTATCCCAACTTCTTCTATTCCCCCACCAAATCTTTTCAATCAAAATTCTGCATCTACTTCCCATACATGCTTCCCAACTGCCTCCCCCAACAATCACCTTCCATACCTGTTATGCCCAACACAAATACATCAATTTCTTCTCTTCCCACATAGTCAACTTCTATATCCTTAAAGCATCACATGGTTACATGATCCCAATTAGGCAATCTAAAACATACACCAGTCTTTGACTTACATCATTCCATCACTCCTACCAACCCTTTATGTTATTGTCATGCTATCAAATTTCTTGTTTGGAAAGGGGCTATGAGTGCTAAATTTGAAGCTTTGCAAAATCAAGGGACATGCACTCTTGTTCCCTCTTCCCCTCATCAAAATGGCTTTTTAAAACCAAATTCAATTCAGATAGCACCATTGCTCACTACAAAGCATGATTGGTAGCCCAAGATTTTAAACAAGAGCTTGACTTAGACCATCATGATTCCTTTAGTCATGTTGTCACATTTCCTATATAATTTTTCTTACAGTTGTTGTTACTCACAAGTGAACTATTATTCAATTAGATGTTTCAAATACATTTTTCCACGATAAGTTTGATGAAATTTTCTATATACAACAGCCACCTGGCTTTGTGGACTTGCAATATCCAAAACATGTTTGTCTACTTAAGAAAGCAATTTATGGTCTTAAAAAAGCTCTGAGGCAATGGTTTGCTACATTCTCTTCCTATTTAACCAATCATGGCTTTGTTGTGAGTTCTGTTGATCCTTCCTTTCTATTGTCTCAGCAATTTTATCATGGATTGGTCCACATCTACATCCTTGTCTATGTAGATGATACTTTGCTTCTTGGAAGTGATCAAAGTAATTGTTGAAATGTTCTTCGCTCTTTAGTCACGTTTTCATATGAGAAATATTGTTCAAGTGACTTAATTTCTTGGTTTGCAAGTCATATATCATTTCACAGGCCTTTATCTCAACCAATCAAGATATGTGGTGGATCTCCTAACAAAAGCATGATTGTCGGATTGCAAGATTGTCGGATTGCAAACTAGTCAGCATGCCTTTACCTACCAAATGTATATCCTCCATTCCTCCTCATCACTTCCAACCTTACCACCAACCTAAATTCTATCAAACTATAGTTGGTTCATTGCAGTATTTAACGATTACTCATCCCGGCATTGTGTTTTTTATTAATCATTTGTGCCAGCATATGCACAATTCTTAGATTATTCACTTTCATTTGTTGAAACAAGTAGTTTGTTCCATTAATGACACTATACACTTTGGTTTACCAATTCCCAAATCATCACTTATCCTTCAAGCATTTTTTGACTCTGTTTGGGCTACAGACTTCATAGATTGTTGCTCTATAATAGGCTATTGTGCATTCCTTGGTTCAACATTAATATACTGGTATGTTAAGAAACAAACCTTAGTAGCTAGATCCTCAACTGAGGCCAAATATAGGACTTTGGATACAACTGTTTGTGATATTATTTGGCTTCAATGTCTCTTGCTGGATTTTTACATTTCTTCCTCTCTAACTAAGCTCTTTTGTGATAATGTATCGGCCCATGCCTTGGCCAATAATCCTGTCTTGTATGCTAGCACAAAGCATATCGAAATCGATTATCAATTTATCAGAGATTGTATAAAATGACAACAACTTTCAATTCATCACATAGCATCACAAGACCAATTGTCTCTTAACTCTGGTCATTTTTCACTACTTCGTAACAATTTAATAATTCAAGCACCAACTGTCAACTTGAGGAGGGTTGATAATAACAAGTGATAAGCACCTACAAAACTATGGATAAGTCAGCTCACTACTCCATGTGCCCTGCTCCATATGAACTGCTCCACTTCTCTATGTTGCTTCAAATTCTCTTCTTGCAGTCATTGGATCCCTACATTTATCATCTTCACCATTCATACATAACTAACTTGATTATATTGTTTCCAGCATGGGGAAAATTAATGAATATCCATAATAATAACTTTGCATAGTAATATCTTTGCATAAAAAAATAAAGAAACAAATGCGATTGAGATAATCTGTAGCTCAAAAATGAGTAGTTAGGAGTTGATTGTCCATTTCTTAGCCATTAACAACATATTGGGCAACTTGATTACGGCGAGCTAATATTTGCAACTACTGAAGGCCATGTCTTGGAGATCATTAATAGCAAATGCTATTATAATCAAATTCCTTAACAATTCATATGGAACCATAAGAGAGATTGAAATTAAAGTTTCAAATTTGGATTGAACAACTCTAACCTATTATTGAACTGAGGTTAGAAACTCTTCTAGAATTAGTAATGTTGTCATCATTGAGTGCACCATGTTTGTGCTCACCTGAGCTTCCACTAAACTCGGTGTCCCCTCCATGGATTCAAAATTCACAATCTCCTTCTCAAATCGAGGTTTTTTGGGCTGAAGTTAAAGTAAGTTTCTTTAGACTTTGTTGGTCCCTGCACAACTATGTAGTGAATCGATGATGCCTTGCGCCTCCTCATAGATTGGTAAAATTATTCTATGCGAATACGGACGCCGTCCGGAGGCGAATCAGAAAGCATCACGTCACTTTTTTGCTGTGTACCGCAGCTATGTACCGGATGACATGACGAGTTCTGATTTTCCTCCAGACGATCCAGTGTCCGCACAGAATAATTTCTCCGAAGATTGTGGTTAATTTTGAGCTGTGGTATCTCTAAGTTGACAATAATAAATATAGATCGAACAATCCAAAAAAAATAAACACAAAGTTCGAAGAAGAGCGTTTCCATATGTTGGTGGTCCACATCGGACTCCAACACATACACAACCCTCCAGCCTTGTTTAAGAACATGTCATTTAACTCATTTGTATATAAAAAAAATATATAGCTTTAAGAACTAAATCAACACAAAGGAGTCCTGCAGGCTGCAGCAAAGATTGAAATACTACATATTCAGTGAAGGAACCACAAATATCATTTTCATGAACAGTCCAGTACAGATTTAAATAACAAAAAAATTTATCCCTGAGCAAAGTACTCAACATATAAATTATGGTTTATTCAAAGCTGGTTCTATCAAATCAAAAACAAATATGAAAAGAAGCCGTTCTGGAATTACTTGCTCAATATTCCAAATCATGAAAAAAAGAACAAAAAGCCTGTAAATCAGCAGAGAGGACTAAACTTCACCTACTAAAAACTTTTGAGAGCTGGTTGACTTGCCCAGAACATATTGCTTGAATATGATTCTTCCAGTACTTGAATGCTAAAAGGTAATGGAAAACTACAAATGCAGCTTGAAAGAGATCCCTGAAAGAAATTTCTTGCGCATAGATCTCTAATGGAGTAATCCTAATGTGTAACTCTGAAAGGATGGTAATAAATTGCTAACAGAAGAAACAGACAATCAATACAGGCTAAAACCAAATAACTGGCTTATGAGAATGGCAAGTCCCATAAATATTGCCAAAAGAGAAGCAGCCCATGTTAGTTTCTCTGTTATCCTAGGAACCCTTCCTTTCAAGGCTTGACTACACGAACCAATAAAAACTGTGTAGGTACCCATAGCAAAAACAGTCCCAACCAGAAACATACCGAGAAATGCCGCACCGGCTAACCGCGAAGGAAGAGCAAGTGCTGGCAAAATCATCATAAGAGCATCTGGTTGCAAGCCATGCACAATGCCTGTAGCAAAAGTTGCAAAACCCATCTTCTTCTTCCTAGCACTGGAAGTAGACTCTAAGGTCTCAACTATGCTAACATCACAGTCCCCATTTTCATGAGCAACACAAGGAGTTGCCACCTCAGAAGCTTCTTTGATTCCCATTGCACCTATGATGAGCAAGGTTATACCAACAACTCTTGTCCCCCATGTCCGAATGACCTCTATGCGTAAACGATCTTTAAGAAGTAAGAAAAGCAATCCAAATATCACTTGCCCGGCGTCATGGCCGCAGCCCCAGAGGGCACCGACAATAGCACTCTCTATTCTTGTTCGTCCAATTGATAATGGAGCAAGGGCAGCCAAATGATCAGGGCCTGATAATGTGTGAAGGCAACCTGCAAAAAATCCTGTCCAGGCGCTACCAAGAAACTCAGTTCTAAAAAGTTTACTACCAGTTTGGGCGGCTGCTTGCACTGTTGCATAAACTGGCCGGGCCAAAATTGTCTGTATTACGGTCACGGTGACCACAGAAAGTAAGACGGAAAAAGCAGTGGAAGCAACCTGACAAGGCAATGTGAAAAAAAAATATGGGAAAAGGAGTGAGCAAGCACAAGTAAATAACATATTTATAAAAATTCAAAGTAGGAAATTAAAGAATATACGCTACTGTCACTACAATGTAGATGAACGGAAAATTTTTTATGCAATAAACAAAGAATTCATTCAAAACTCAAGAACAAGTTTCAAGAGTTACACTGAAGTATGGTGATTCATCGCCGGGAATATCAGAGCAGAAAGGTTGTGCATCTTATATTTGAATTTCCTTCTAATATCTATCTAGGATCAATTCAATTTTCATTTGGCCCTTGATCTTTAGAAGGGAAGTCATTAACACCAAGAAGGTAAGGCTAACTGACGTAACTATTATATCATTAGGTGGTTGGTGATTTATTGTGTTGAGTGTAGCCTTGTATTACTCAATAGCTGTACATATAAACAGCTACTAATTATAATGAAAAGAGAGAATAATGAGAAGTGTTCTCTTTTGTCCGATTTCTTTCAGGTTCTATATCCTGAATCATTTCAAGTGGTGGTTTTCTGCCCAAGAAACCTGCTCTTTGGGCCTGTTATGCTCACTGTTTCCAACAGATCGATGTCCGCCCCCTCTCCATCTAAGCCGCGCCCCTTTTCCTTACCCAATCCAGCGTCATTTTGGTATCAACCAGACACAAGCAGCCTCCAAGAACCATGGTTTCTTCCCACACTAGCCTGCTTGCTCCTGCTCGCGTTCAACAACCCAATCCGACGATCCCAACAGGCCTATTCCGTGATCCTGGCGCCCCGAACCCTCGACCAAGTGCCTCGTGTCAGCACGTCGCACACCCACCTGTTGCAGTCCATGACCCCTAGCCTGAGATTTTGATGATGACAAATAATAACAATTTGAATTATTTCATTATTCATTGAATATTTTGATTTTTAGTCTTGTCTATGAGTACTAATATTTCAGGGAGATTACATATTACTCAAGACAACAAGAAGACTCAAAACTGGGTAGAGTAGGATGTGAAGTCTGAACTCTGTAATTTTCATTTTTAATTATTATTTTTTTCTTGAGTCTGGTCACAAAGTGTATACAAACTGAGCTACCATGTACACACAGGGAGAGTTTTTTAAATAAGATTTTTTTTTAGATCGTACTGTACGATTGTCATTCGTACTGTATGACCTGCTGTGGCTCAACGGCTATATGTGAACAAATCGTACTATACGATCATTATCGTACTATATGATGTGTTTTTTAATTAAAAACTCTAATAGCCAGATTAATTTAAGTTTTTAAATTGCAAATTTTGAACTGATTGTACTGTACGATCAGGATCGTACAGTATAAAAATTTAAATACTTAAATTAACCCCGTGATTAGTCAGTAAATCAATGATTATTTTTTGATTGGTTATCGTACTGTATTACATGGATCGTACTATACGATCAATCGAGGCTGTTTTCGATCATCCCAAACATCATACCGGACGATTCTTTGATTTTTGAACTAATCGTATTGGACGATGTGAACATCGTACCGAACGACCTGAAGCTTTTGACAGATCGTACTATACGAAGTGGATCGTACCAGACAATGAACAGAGACGAGTTTTCATCGTCCCAGCATTCGTCCTGTACAAACAGAAGGAATATAACATATTGTACTGGACGATACTTAAATAGTATTGTACGATGTTGTGCAGAAAAATTGCCTGTTTGTACTCCGTACCAAGACGAAGGCTGTTTTGAACTGATCGTACTGTACGATCTTGGATCGTACTGTACGAACAATAACGACTAAAGTGAAAATTTAGGGTTTCTTGGAGCCTGATTTATATATGAAAGTTCTGTCTTTTTGAATATATGTGTGAGAGAGGAATGTGACAAGAAGGGGACTTCTTGAGAGAGAGTTACTTAAGAAGATTTTGTGTTTGTGAGTGGAAGGAGAATGAGAGTTTGTGAGGGGAATCACACGGTTGCTCCAAGCTAGCTGCATGCTTGATCCTCCTGTGGCCCGAGAAGATCTTGTGAGAAGCTTTCTAAGGGGGAGATCCTTCAAGGTCCGTGTCCTCTAAGGTACTCTGCCTTCTTCAGGAGGGAGGAAAACAAGAAGGTTCGCTGCCGTCACCAGGAGGGTGATATAGCATTTGCTACTCCACCACACTAGGGAAGGTGAAAGTGAGGGTTGGTAAAGGCTTCTCCGCCTTACTGTAGGGGCAAAAGGAGAATTACTTTCGAGTAGTGAAATTCCCTGAGTGGAGGACTCCGAGGAGTGGACATAGGTCAAGTGACCGAACCACTATAAATCTTCTGGTGTGATTTTTCCGTTTACTGCATTTTATTTCTATTTTGCATTTTTCATTTGGTATAACTGTTTGGTGAAAAATCCTATTCTAGATCTTTGTTGTGTAAGTTAAAATTTCACCACCTATAGTTGTAATCGTATTTTAATCATTCGCTTCCGCATCAAGTTAGTTTTTTATTTAAAATTTATAAACAAAAAAAATAAAACTCATATTTAGGATTGTTATTTTATCACAAAAATTTTCAATTCACCCCCCCCCCCTCTTGACGCATCTCGTACTTTCATCACCTGCAAGTGCAACCTGACCTACATCAGCCTTTGGCGCCCACCGACACGCCTCCGACCAGCTTCCGCTCTGCTTGTGGTCCGAGCCGCGCCCCATTGCCTGCATTGGTCTGACTGATCCCGTACCCCGCCCTCAGCTCGTTTCCACATCTTGCCCAACCACGCGTACCATGCCTAGCCTGCGGTACGATCGTGCCGCCAAACCGATCGATTTAGAATCCCTTCCAAGGAAGCCTGGGGGTTGTCGTTCTTCTTTCGGCTGTCAAGACACCTACTGCCAACCTGTTCAGCCACATTGGCTTGGTGCAAAAATCAGCAACTAAATAGGGAAAGATGTTGCCTTGATGGAATCCACAAAGACTAATTCAAGAATCAGTGATCGAAGATTTACAGCAAGAAATTACCTAACTCCAATAGCGACTAGCAAGACTCGAACAAAGGAAGGACATGGAACCCATCACCCGGAACTTTGCTAGCATCCGACCCCAAAGAAAATTTGCTCCCATTGAGGCTTCTAGATACTTTATTCCGGATGGATCATTATGAACTGATGGTGGAGAGGGTATTTGGACCGTTCGGATCCATTCTTCCGACGAAGACATGTTTGAAAGGCTACCTTGTAAGTCTTCCTCTGCACCCTTGATTGAGTTCTATTCGAGGGTTTTAAAGATCCGTTACCGAAATATTCAACTTTTCCTATATATGATGAGCCCATTTATGATGATGGCATATTCTTTGGAGTTCATGTTGTTGATAAGCCTATGTCTGATAATGACAAGAGCAAGTTGGATGCCCAACAAGAACTATGCAGTCATAGCATTCCGAATAAGGCAACAAATATGCTTGTCAAGTTAGGTAAGTGATGGGGACATCAGATTACGACACATGTACCTTCAGGAGATGCCGGAGATCGACGGCCGCGATCATGATCTTTATTTTCATCATTTTATGTAGTAGTTTAATTTTATTTTATGTTTTTCCGTTTTTGCCCTTATGGGTATTTGGTAGCTATTGTAGCCCAAGGGGCATTTTAATTCTTTTGTTTTTTCTGTTTTCTATTGTGAGGAGCTATTTATATGGCCCTATCTCTGTAATATGGAGTATTGATGAAGAAATAAAATTTTTATATTGTTTGTTCTCTTTGTGAGTTCTCAAAAGATCTCCTTAGTTGAGTTCTTCAGATGAGATTTCTTGTGAGTTCTCTTAAGTATTACATCCATTGATCTTCTCCTCGTCCAACAAACGCCACATCCACATCAACAAGTGGGAAGAAAGCCGCCTCCTCGCCACACTTCCGTCACCTTGGAGGCCCAACCGTCGGCGCACCACAATCGCCGGCCGGCCTCCCTCCCGCCTGCCCACCACTTCGGCTCCCCTCCCACCACCACCCCTCACTCCCCTAACCCCTTTAGTAATTTGAATTTCAAATGTCAAAATTATTTCCAATATTTGATGTTCCAAATTATGAAAGTTTAAGATTTTTGAATTCAATGTTCAATCCAAAATGAACTTAGATTCATGAAGAAATTCTTTCCTAGTCAATCATCCCCATTTGGAAAACTCCTCCTCATTCTCTATCTCCTCCCCATCACCATGATGTCGCCGCCCCCCCCCCCCCCCATGCCATATTGGGCTTCCCATTAATTGCTCAATTAATACCCCTCCCTTATTTGAAGTTCAAATTCTAATTTCAAAATAATTCCCGTCCAATTTCACTAAAACTAAACTCCTTCAGTTTTCCACAAAACCTAGCCCCTTATTGATGCCGCCGGCCCTCCTATTGGCTCTTCCGATGAATGACAATAATTCCCCTCTTTAATTTGGGATGTCCAAATTTTAAATATTCCTAATTTTCCCTTCCTAAATCCTTTAAACTGAAACAATTTCAGTTTCTCGACCTAATCCCCCTCCTCTCCCCTAGATCCACCGCCGGCCCCTTCCTCCTCTCCAAACCGGCCCCTCTCTTCTCTCTTGGTTCAGTGAGGGGATTGCTCGTCTTCAAGTTCATGGTGCATGGCGGATCCCGCCGTTGACTACGGAATCGAACTCGACACCTATGGCCACATTCACGTCCTTAGATCGCTTTTCTTTGACGTGGTTTTGGCTTCGACAATACCGTCGAAGATTACTTGGATCGGATCTTACCGACACTAGTGGACGCCTTCGACGACCAATTCTCCGACTACACGTGGATCATCGAAAGTCATCCGCCCGCTTCTGCAACTCCCACTTCCTTCCCGGCGAGGAGTCCTCTTGGCATCACATGTGTCTTAGTGGTATCGCTAAGTTTTCTTTCAACCCTCTTCCGCTAACCTCCACTTCAAAGAGAGATTGTCGGACTCAAGGTGAATGGTCTAAACTTTAAACGTGTGGCTTTAGTGAAAGCTATTTGCGTTATTTAGTTATCTTTTGGTTATCTTTTGCA